CTGGGAGTTGAAGTCCACTCATCTTAAAGTGGCCAAGTTTGGACAACACTGGCTTAAGATATTTTGGAGAGCTTTAGTTGGCTTGTGTGCTACGGAGATGCCATGTGGTTGTAATAGTCTGTTGGTGGTTTCTGAGACGTTTCTGATGTATGGCAGTGTGTTCCTTCTCATAGCTTGTGTTGGTTGTGTTGTAGTAGGTTGAGTAGCCAGGCTCTTTTTGATAAAGTTGCGTGGATATCCATTTTGTTGGAAGATGTTGTATAGACGGTTCAACCCTGAGCTGCATATATTCTCTTCTATGGGATAAATATAAATATACTCACACCCATGCACACCTATACAGGCACACACCCACACCCACCTGTGTGCACATGCACACACACGCACATACAGTACATACACAAACACACACTTCCATACACACATCTCTCTTGTGCACAGAATGGAGCACGCGTGATGACAGTGGAAGCAGTCAGTTTTCAGAATCCCAATGAAGTTCTCAGATTGAGAATCTACTTTGGGCCAATCAATTTTACTAGCAGCAGGAGTGAAAACGTCTGCAAGTCATTTGAAAATGGCTGAGGAAGAATGTAGAGCCACTGCAGGAAAAAGGGGAACTTTCCCCTGGGGTACAACACAAGCAGGAAACAACAAACCCCCCCCCCCGCCAAACCCAAGTTTCCTTACCAAATCGCCAAGGTGGTTCATGCCCAGCCAGTAAGTGTGTTTCCCCAGATCGGCCTCCCAGTTATGCTCCTGGATCAGGTGCAGATTTTTCTCCCAGACAGCTCTCCGGAAGCTCTCTTCCCCCTGCAGAAGAGCCAAGGAGGGGCAGGCGTGGCACGCTGCCCTGCCTCAGAAAGCGGCACGCAAGAGGCTGGAGACAGGGCCGCCAGGCTCCAGAAGATGCTTCTGGGAGCCAGAATTTGGCTCCCTGGGAATGCAGCAGGCCCAGTTTTATTTCCAGGTAGAGAAGAGAATGCCACTGGCTAAGTGCGGTTCACCTGAGCTAGAAGGCAGGGGAATTCAACTTCCAGGTTGCAGAAGTTCCTAAATGCACATCGTGATTTGCAAGATGCAACTACAAATGTAAATCTCACTGAGCTCGTGTCAGCCTTCCCAGGTAGATCAGACAGGAAAGATGACCAGATGAGGTAATTCTAGTTTATTGTAAGGCTACATTGACAGAATCTTGCAAGTCTGAAAGTACAAATCTCCCGCCATCCCTTTTACAGCCTGAGAAATTAGGAAGGGTCCCTTCTGAGTCTCTTTTTCCAGCCACTATGCAGCTGCAGGCTGTGTCCTCTCTTATCTGACTGTTCCCTAGGCAGCATCTCTTCGCCCCGTCTCCCACAGTCTTTCTCACATACCATTATAGCTTGACGGGACCGACTTGGGTAGTCCCAGATAACATGCCTACCTTACCGAGCCTTGCTCAGTCCAGCAAGGCCATTTTGATGAAGTCTGCACATCCACAGGGATCCTGGCCCGTGCTGCAGGCTGGCACTCGGTGCATGTTTAGCAGCACCTGGGTCAGGTGGACAGAATCGGTGAAGCGCCACTTCGGGTCCCATCCCATTTTACCCAGCAGACTCACCTGGCGGTACTCTTTGGCATGGGTGGTCTTCCAGTCACTCCAGTCCTTGTCTAGGACCGGATCCTGCGCTACAGAGAAGCTCCTCAGGGCCAGCAGGCAGGTCAGGGCTGCCCCCAAGCTGGGGAGCATCATCAGCCTGGAAGAGCAAAGCACCTTCCGTTTCAGCTTTCCTGTCCCTCTGCTAGTCCTCTGTGCCCCCCAGTCATCCCCACTGGATGATTCATTGCTGGGAAAAAGGTGGACGTCTAGACCAGCGGTTAGGGTTGATTTACATGATTTTAGACAGACAGGTTGGATCGGATCAATGGCAAACCGGCAGGGCTAGTCAGCACTTTGGATTCGGAGGAAAAAGGAATATCTCAGTGGAAATCAGAAGGAGAACGTGAGCTTCCCAGCGCCTATCGTAATTCCCAGACTGGCACAGATGTGATGTAAACAGCCAGCTGCAAGCTTCCTCATTATCAGTGACGGGACCTGCCAGTTTGGTGCATCAGAGCAAGGCTGTTAGAAGGAAAATCTAGATGTCTCTGCCTTAATGTGAACAGGGATATTTTGGGGTGTGTGTGTGTGTGTGTGTGTAGTTGAGAAGCACTGATCTAGAGTATCCTACAAGGGCAGGAAAAGCCCTCCAAATCCTTACATATGGGCTACCTGTGGCCTCCGAACCCGTTTGGCAATTGCTGGGGCTCCTCTCTTGCAATCTTGCCCAAAGTCAGCATTTTCAGGCAAGAAACACACAAGCAATCAAACCTAACTTAAGGCATCCAACAACAATAACCAGAGCCCCCCTTTCCCCCCAAACCTAGACAGGTATGACAAAAAATCTGGTTGTCTCCAGACAGGACATAGCCACACCCACTTTATCGCATTGCCCTGCCCACTTCAATCCTTGCCCCCATGCCAAAAACAACCCCCAGCTGCCAAAAGGGTGCCTATTTCCAGGGGCATCTTTTGGGGGGGGTCCAAAAAATTAAAGAAGGCAGCTCTGATGTGCAGTCAAAGTCCTGCCCTTTTTACATGTATTGCACTTGCTTAGAAGGGGAGGAGGCTCAATCACATGGTCACAGGCTCCATCTTGACATTTTTGACCTCCTCCCCATGGATGCCCTTGCCTACTTCCATCTCCTCCCCATTATAAATGGGTGTGGAGTCTCAAATTAATCAAAAACAAGCTCCTTGCCTTTTTGAAAATTCATAGTTCCCTTTTAGATGGGGTTCAGTTTTTCAGTTTACCTTGTTTGCTCCTTCCCACCTCAGCTAGAGAAGAGATCTTGTCTCTGGCCAGAGAAGTTTCTCTTGAGTCAAGAAAAGTCTCCAGTTTTTATAGTTTGGCCAACTTCCTCTCCCTGATTCCTCACAGTCACACTTATGAAACAGGGCTTCCCTGGAAAAGCTGCACCAGATGTTGACCCAGTGAAAGCAGGACGCCAGCAATTAAATGCAACATCCTTTCTCGGAAGGGATCTGGACGTTGACTGATCAGGTTGGTCCAGAGATCCAGTTCTGAAGATGTCCAGGAAAACCACAGAAAGTGTAAAAGAATTTAGGGTTGAGCTTAAGGTAGGTATGAAAGAGCCATTAAGGAGAGACTTGGAGAAAAGATTACACAGTCCGGAGACTGAAGGAAGAGTGAGGAAAAAACTCATAGTAACGCCCCCGCTGGCAGAAACTTGGACAGGCTTTCAAGGTTCTGTTATTATAACCTACAACAATAAAGTAGCATTTCTGGATTTCCTGTGGTGTCTGTTTCTTGACCTGGTCGATCTCAAAGGGCTGACCTCAGACTTGAATTTCTCTTTCTCCCACCTTATACTAAACAAAATCAAGACAGGCTTCCTCTGAGTTTCTTTCTCACCCTCCCTTCAATCCCCACCTGTGTAATTTCTTCTCCCAGCTTCCCCTCCCCCCCTTGATGGCTCTTTCATACCTTCCCCGGGTCTACATTCTTATAGAGATAGAAATTTGGAGGGCTGTGTTTAGCTTTTCAGAATGTGTGCACTCCGTTTTTTCTAAAAGGAAAAGGGAAATCTGGATACTTTTTAAAAATTATTTGAGTTTTCTGCCCTTATATTTTCAACACCAAGCATGGATGAAATCTCTGAATCAAAGATCAGCAGGGGAAAGTTCTCACTGCTCGGTATATTCCAACTCTTCTTTGATTACAAGTAGTCCTCAACTTATGACCACAGTTGGGCCCAGAACTTCCATCGCTAAGCGATGTGGTTGTTAAGTGAGTCATGCCCAATTTTACGACCTTTTTTGCTGCGGTGGTTAAGCGAATCCAGCTTCCTCCATTGACTTTACTTGTTAGAAGCCCCCTGGGAAGGTCGCAAATGGCAATCATACGACCCCGGGATGCTGCAACCGTCATAAATACATGCCAGTTGCCAAGTGCCCACATTTTGATCACGTGACCGCAAGGACGCAGCGACAGTTGCAAGTGCAAGGACCAGTTGCAGGTCATTTTTTTCAGTGCCATCATAACTTTGAACGGTCGTTAAATTAATGGTCGTAAGTCAAGGACTACCTGTACTAGAAAAGCAGGTGAAGGCTACCTAAGATGGACCTCCAATTATATCTGGAAATTTCCACTAGGTTAAATCATGGGTAGTAGAATGGTTCTCATTCCATTCCTTTATTTTGCTGTGATCCTTTTACCACAGAAGGCGCCATCACTCCTTATGGCCACTCCTTAAAACAAAATAGGGTTGGAGACCTCATGATTCTGAATAACAATATGACTTAAAGAGGAATATGGGAAGCAGTTTTTTTTTTAAGAACTGCATTTGTACAAGATGCTTAATCTGGTTATCAATTTACTCCATTGTCTAGTTTTCTGAAACACATTGAACCACTGCTTAAAGTTGGGTTGGTTTTAATCTTGACTGGTTTTCCTCTGGTTTGTGGTGATGTGTGAACCTGGGCCACTCAGTTAATTTAGGCTTCAGGATACTCTGCAAATCCCTGAAGTGGACTAGTTCAAACACTGCATTCAGCATGTTGCATGAACACCCAACCAGTAAGTCAGCTAGTCTAGTTTTATCTGGGTTAAATGTAGACAGCGTGCGGCCATTTTAAGCAGGGTTTTTCCCAGCTCTTCTGGAAATGCCAGGAGTTGGTGGGACTTTTGGCATTCACACAGACCAGTGCTCTTCAAATTTGGCATGCTGGCTGGGGAATTCTGGGAGCTGAAGTCCACACATCTTAAAATTGCCAAGTTTGAAAAATACTGAAATAGACAAATGAAGCAAGTATTCTAGTCCAGATCAGACTGTTCATTCATCAAGTCCTCTCTGGCTCTCTGAAGGTTCATATAGAGAAAATGTTTTCAAATTATTGGAAATGAAACCAGGGATTTTCTACATAAAAGACACATATTCTGCCGGTAAGAATTGAACTTTTGCATGGATTATGACGTGGGAATTTCCTCCTTTCAGCCACCATTCTATGTGGCAATGACTATGCAACCTCTTTTTCCAAGGTGCACAAAGGTATTTATTTATTTAGAAGATTTATATGGCTGCCCATTTTGTGAGACAAACTCTTGTTCACCTTACTTCAACTGTACGGTTGCATTAAAGCATTAGATCACAACCACTGTGTCCACACTGGACCCTGTGGTTGTAAGAATTCCCATGAATTAAAAGATTCAAGTAATACATGTAGTCCTTGCTTATTGACAGCTTATTTAGTGACCATTTGAAGTTACAACCGTGCTGAAAAAGTACGTTTATGAATGGTCCTCAAACTTGCGACCATCGCAGCATCCCTGCGGTCACATGATCACGATTCAGGCACTTGGCAACCAGCATGCATTTGCAACAGTCACAGCGTCCCGTGTCATGTGATCGCCAAGTTTGAAAAACACTGTTCTAGGTTTTACTTCAGCATCATGAAGGAACATATGTGTTTCCTTAGGATATTTTGGTAGCAGAAGCTGTCCTTAGATGCCATCCCTACCCATTGTCCAACCCTAGAATTGGAAGGGGCCTTCCAGCCCCCAGCTAAATGCAGGACCCCAAATTAAATCATTCCCGGCAAATGGCTGTGTAGCCTCCCCTTGAAGATGGAGATTTCTTCAGTCCAATGAAGGAGAGTTCACCACCTCTCTGGGTCATGGATTCCACTCTCAAGCTCCTCTTATGATTACGTTTTTCCTAATGTGCAATTGGAATCTGCTTTCTAGTAATTTAAATCTGTCGGTCCGTGCCCTGCACCCTGGGCTGATAAAGCACAGGTCTTGACTTTCTTCTGTGGGTCATTCTTTGGAAGCGTGTCCTCTTAACCTCTACCATGGTGGAGTCAACCTAATTGCCTTGGTTTGCAGGAAGCACTGAACCATAAACTGTCCACATGGGCTAGGTTCCCGCCACATGCTACCCAACATGTCATTGATTAGTTTGTGGCTTGGTGTGTCATGGGAATCTGTATTAGATATCATATCTGCATCTGTATTAGAAGGTCATCTTTAGGACTGGGATGAGCAGGTTAGTAGCTGCTGCTGCTGCTTCCAATGGATCTTCCCCTAAAATACCTGGCCATAGAGAAGCTGTCTTCGTGCAGGGAGAATGGCCGTCAAGAGCATCCCAGGGAGATGAGTTGAAAGCAGCTGAGACTGGACACCAAGCATTAAATCACCACTCAGGATAGGCCTTAGGGAAGAGTGCTACTTGTGAAAAAGCTCTAAAGGAGCAGTTAAGAGGTTATCACCCAAATGGCTGGTGTGGGTCTTCCGGGCTGTGTGGCTGGGCACAGAGAGACCTGCTCCTGTCTGTGCTCCTGCCCTCTGAAGATGCCGGTCACAGGTGCTGGCGAAACGTT